ACTCACCAAAAACCCCACCGCCGGCTTTACCTTAGATTGCCTTTCCCCGGCAAGGCCCTTACTGCAAAACTGTGAACCTTCTCCAAAACATCTAATATCCCTTGAACTTTAGGGACCTCAGCTTGATGTTAGAGGAAAAGGAGCAAAGCGAGCAGTAAGAGGTAAATGATTAAAATTATCTCAAATCAACCTGGGGACTAACTTTTTTTTTTTAATAGCACTGTTTCACTCAAATTATAGGTAGCATTCTAGGCAGTTTGGAAGGGATGTTTGAGGGTGGGGATTTGTTCCATTGGTCCTTAGAGTCTACAACCAGTACACAAGCTCTACCTCCCATGTAGAAATTTGGCCTTAGGAACAAAAAGAGGAAACAGTTGTCCTACCTGAGAGAGGAGGTGGCTGCTCTTCTCTCTCGTGGATCTGCTCCACCGGTTTGTGATAAGCCCTGGGCTGCCCTGAACTCCTCTGCGTCTCTCCATGAAGGACAGGAGAGGCTGTGTAAAGAGGAGCCATGGGGGGAGGGCTGCCCCGAAGAAAGGTAAACATGGCTCTGGGAACCAGGTCTCCCTGACCCATCCCCAACCACTGGAACCTAGCATCTTCGGCCAGGGACTTATACCCAGCTCACTCAGTCAGAGCAGCTTCTTGTACCACACACACACACGCACACACACACACACACACACACACGCACTAACCCTTACTCCCTAACCTTGCTAAATCCCCTACTTCCTTCCTCAGGTGAGTAGGCATTCCACAGATGCTTGGGAGAATCTGACCCAGACTAGAGCATCCTCTCTGCTAGCTAGCAGGGAGAGTTTCCGCCCTTTCTCTGATTTTTACAGACATTCAATCAGGACTTCCTAGAAGGATTTGGGTCCACAGCCCCCAATCAGTGGTATGCCGAATCCCATATCTTCAGGGACATAGTCCTAACAAAGCTATCTCTGGCTCAAATCCCACTGCAGCTGGGCCTCTCCTGAGTAGACAATTTGTCATTTGGGAACGATAGCACCAGACCCTCCTCAAAGCCTCGGGTTAAATCCCCACTGATGAGACCAGTCCACTTCCTAGATGGTGCCACACGGATGAGCAGTTCCTGAGGCCCACTGTCCAGCAACTAGCTGTGGTATCACCTGATCACCTGAACAGGCAGCTTTGAAGGAGACCATGACCAAAATCCTGCCCAACTGGGAAGATCAGGAGTCTGGAATGTTTTGCCTCTTTGTTTCTCCAGTTTCAGGAAAATAGACAAAAGTAATCTCGAGGGGTGAAGGGAATCTTATCAGCTGAAGAGAACTCAAGGAAACCTCAGCTGTTTTGCAGGCTCATTCGTTTATTTTTTATGCAGTCACCCTGATAGCCCCCACTGGGCTCACTTCCCTTCCCTGTAAACAACTGGCTCTAATTGAACTTGTGCTGTTGGATAAAGGTATATAACCTTGGAGAGTCTGTAAAAAATGGCTTCACTCTGAAGACTTCAAAAAGCATGTGGTCCCTTTTGTCAGGCCCTCGACAAGGGTAATTTATGTCGTCGCTATCTTGCTCTGAAGGACTCTAGTTACTGCACATCTGTTCTCTGTCTAATCTTGGTACGAACATTGTGGTGGTCTTGGCAGCTCCATGCATCCAGTGGTCTCTTAACTGTTTCCTGCCCAAAATGTCCAGGCGTTCAGATTTGATTTTCTCTCCCCTTTGCCCTCATAAAAGCTTTCAATTTCCTCTCAGACGGTGTCCTGGCTGTCTCATGTTCTCTGACCCCATTATGGAGGAACTGTCCTTCTCCCCAGACTGGCTGACCAAGCAGAGACTAGGACGTCCCGTGGGAGAAGACAACTCCTATTCCATTTTCAAAATGAAGAGAAAAGATGATATGAGAGGGTAAATTATGCAAGAGAATATGGGCGGTTGACAACACTGTGTTCTAATCTGCCATTGGAATTAGAATTTTTTAAATTAAATACAGTAAAAGTACAGAGTATACTACATTAGTATGAAAGTTTTGTAAAATGTTTCCTTTAAGCATGTGTGTGTGTGTGTGTGTGTGTGTGTGTGTGTGTGTGTGTGTGTGTGAGTGAGTGTCCTGGATCATCATTTAAAATTCACTTCTTCCTAGAAGCTGCAGCCAATAGTTTGAAACTACTAGTGTAGCGTATGTGGAGCTGAGCTTCAGCTCTATGGCATCGCCATTTTCTACCAACGTGATTGTGAGCAAGTCCAATATCCCGAGACTCTGCGACTCTTCTCTGTAAATTGCAAATACTGCATGCCCTCTTGACCTCACAGGATGGCTGAGAGGACCTAATAAGGTAAAACAGTATAAGCCTTATACCCAAACTCTATACAAATCAAAATCCACCCCACAGACCAGAAAGGGCTCTGCAAAGGAGCGTCAGGTGTGGCACCGAGTGAGAGAAAGGGAATCGCCAGGAAGCCTGGGGCTCGGCTTCGCTTCAGGTCCTTACACTGCACGACATTTATGAAACAGTGTTTACTGGGTGCCTGCTATGCATCAGGGACTATTTTAATGGCTGGGGATAAACAGACAAAGTCTTTGCCTTCATGAAACTTACATTCTGGGTGAAGATGACAAATTTAAAGGGAAAAAAAAAGTGTGTAATATGATGTTAAATCCTACAGGGAAAATTTAAAAGATCTACTAGTAGGCCAGTGTATCTGTTACAAATTTTATCTAAGATCCCATGCAAGTATTTTTTAGCAAGTTTTGGTGGTTAAAAATCCCAGAAAAATTACTGTAGAACATTGTTACTTTGGAGTAATGTGCTATGTAAGGCACCCAAAGACTCTTTTTTTTTTAAGACTTTTATTGGGGAATTGGGGGAGGGGAACAGTGTTGGGGAATCGGGGAAGGGGAACAGACAAGTTGCTGTCCTTTTTTACTCTTTAGTCTAGTTGTGGAGGACGTCGTTTCACTGGCCCATGTTGGTATTATCATTGCGCTCTTCCCGGGTGAGGCAGATTGGTCACCGGCCACTGGACAGCCTCTGACAGTGGCTCTTGGCAGCTCACATCGACTGCCGGATGCTCACAGTAGCTTATGGGAGCCCACTGCAGCTCCATTGCAGCCTGTGCTGTCGCTGGCGACTCATGGCAGCCCAGCTCCAGGTGGAGCTGTTGTTCACCATCTTAGCTGTAGAGGGCGCAGCGTCACTGGCCCTCATGTGGGATCCAAACCAGGGCCCTGCTGCTCTGAGCTGGCGTCCCAAGCCAGCTCTTAACCAACGCGCCACTCGGTTGGCCCCCGCAAAGACTCTTTTTGCAAACAATGCCCTCGGAATGCTCTCCCCTTAAGAGCTTTCTGGAATAATCAAACTAGAGGATCTCTCAGTTATGTTTCCATCGGTTGTAATAAAAATAGGCTCTAAATTAACAGGAGGGGCTTCTTGTCTAGAAGAGAAATAAACATGAAATTTGTTACCTGAACTAGTTAGAAAGCCAAAACATAAACAGGTTCAAGATGGGTTTAGGCAAACACGTGGATAACAAATGCTTGATGCCATTAAATATTTGAAAAATAACATTATACAAACTACAAGGAATCTAAAGAGCCCGGGAGTGCTCTTGATTCTTTCATGTCAAGTCATCTGCTTACTCATCGTCATCAAAACTATGTAACTGCTGCCTTATGACTAACGTCCCAGGTCTCAGTTTCTGTGATAATTTTTAGCAGCAAGATTCAAAGGTTGGGAGACCTAGCCTAGGATTGGGAAATCTGGATGCTTATCCTAGCTTCCAGTTTTAACAAGTCAGTTCCCATTTCTAAAAGGCTTACGGTCTCCTTTGCAAAGCTTGTTAGTCTTGATGACATTTGGGCCCCCACTCAGCATGGGAAAAACATAAACAGGAAAACCCGGATTTGAAATTCTATCATGAGGGCCTATCCTTATTTGGGGAGAAACCAGCACACTGCTGCCATAATGCTTTACTAGGTAAAAACATGTTTGTGAATTAACTGTGATCAAAGATCTGACCCTCAGTCTTGAATTTGTCAACACACAGAAAGTGAAACTGCTTTGCAAAAGCAGGGCACATTAATAAAACTAACCAGAATTTATATATAAAAGAGAAACTCAAATTTTTACCAACAATGTAGAAAAAAATTATTGCCCCATGGCTTAAAACAAGGTCAGAAAAGCATGGTTGGTGGACCAGCTCTGCCTGACACCTGTCTTTGTACATGAAGCTGCATTGGCACAGCCACTCCATTGGTTTACGTATTGTAGGGTCACTTTTTCACCACAGTGGCCGAGCTGTATAGTCACAACACAGACGCTATGGCCTGCAAAGCCTGAAATATTTGCAATCTTACCCTTTCCAGAAAAAGTTTACCAAGCTCTAGATATGAATATTGTTATCAATACATCTAATACATTTGCTCCTTGAAGGAGAAAATTAAACTAGAGTAAGAAGTTTGTTTAGTGAGCATAGGAGCAGAGCAGGTGGGTCTCCTTGGGTGATAGTGAGGAATAATTCTCAGCTAAGAAAGCATAAGACATAGGTGGCTATTAAAGTGAATGTCTTGCTGGGAGCCATATATTAAAATCTACTGGACAAGTTTTGATCCCCCCCCTTTGGGCTGTGCTTAAATGGACACTGCTAATATTTGCTTCTGCCTGTCTTTTGGTATTGTGCCTCCACTGTGGAAAAATCCCCATCTGATCAATACTTTATGTAGCATGAATAAAATTGGTCATATTCCCTTCCTCCTTGGAGCTCACCTCAACACAGTGTCGCAGCTGAATGAAATATCGACATGATGCCAAATCCATGAAGTGTAATATACTCGTAGATATGGACTGAAAGTGCTCTCAAATTGCACTAAAGGGTGGCTACTATTGGCAACACGGTAAATATCTGAAAATCATCTTTAGCTATCTCACCAATGTCATACTTCAAAATCTTTTGTCTTCTTCAAAATTCCACCTGTGCTGGCATCCATCTTCAGAGGTTTCCTCATCACACAAGCAGACTGCCTTTCTCATTTAGAGTTTTATTTCCGTGAGTATTGCCATGCCTCTCTCTTCTTGTGTATATCACCTTAGCTTCTCCTAGTTATATTCTTTTTCCTCACAAAGATTCCATGGCTAGGAAAGCAAGAAGAAAAAAAGAAAGAAAGAAAGAATGGGAAGAAAGGAGGGAAGAAAGAAAAAATAGAAAAAGAAATGAAGATAGCTCATAATTTTAAAATCTCATCCCTGCCATATTTCCATATGCAAAATGTTATATGTTAAATCGTGTCCTTCCCCACCCACAAAAAAAGATATGTTGAAGTCTTAACCACCAGTACCTCGGAATGTGACCTTACTTCAAAACAGAGTTGTTGTGGATATGAGTTAACGCAAGGTTATAATTGAGTAGGGTGGGCCCCTAATCCAATATGACCAGTGTCCTAATGAGAAGACAGCCATGTGAAGGAAGAGACACACAGGGAGAATGCCATGGGACAATGAAGTCAGAGATCGGAGTGATGCAGCTATAAGCCAACAACTGCCAAACATTGCCGACAAACACCAGAAACTAGAAAGAGCCGAGGAAGGATGGATTCCCCAACACATTTCAGAGACGGCATGGCCCTGCTGTCTTCTTGGCTTCATACTTCTGGCCTCCACGACTCTGAGACAATAAATTTCTACTGTTTTAAGCCATCTAGTTTGCGGTACTCTGTTAACAGCAGCCCTAGCAAACTACTATAATGCATAAACGTATTGAATCGAGTCTTGTAGTTCAGTGCAAGACTTCATTCACCCCTAATTTAGTCCAGGACGTCGGTTGCATATCTGAACCCACTTCCCTCTTTCCAACTTTTTAGAGCTCCTTGTGTTTGGCCTCACTTCCTTTCTGGATGTGGGAGGACAGACATTTAGCTGTAAGAATTGTTTATTTCCTGTCAACCTCAACAAGTGTTTTATAGAAAAGTTTTGCACAAAACACTGTGGCTTGTACAAGAGCACATTCACTAAAAAAATGTGTGGCAGTATCTTTTCTTAGACATTTCTAACACAAGCAGAGTTCTCTCTTCCATGAGTATGCAGTGGGCTAAGAAACTACAACACTTGCCCCGCAGGGCCCTTCTTTTCTGTGACTGTGATTTACTGCGCTACCCATTAACTTCAGCATCTGGAACCAGCCCATACGCCTCCCCCTAAGGCAGACACAACCCATGTAGATCAACATCCTTTAAGAAACCTAGCAACTCATGCAGGTTCTGGCTCTGTCACTGGTAAATAGCAGTGATCATGATGACAGGAGTCTTTGGCTTTTTAAGCCATAAACTTACCTCAAGAATTTTGATTCATAGCTGGATACAAAATACTGTGCAAATGTTGATTAGCAGGTGGTCCCATCAGATGGATGAATTGCTTACACTTTCTCCATAGTTACTCACAGTTCATTTTCCCTTCAGAATTTTTAGGTACGAGCTTGGAGCTCTAACATGTTTGGGTTTTAGATTCTGGAAGGAATGCAGTGTAATTTTTTGGCACTCTTTGCTGAGTGATTTATGTACTGCTCGCTCTGGGTAATTTGTTTTACGCATGTGTGACAGAACTGGTGCTGGACTTCTGCTTTGGAAACGTTTGTTTCAAATTTGCAGTTGTTGGCCCTTCTAGACCCTGCAACTTTACATTTGAATGAAAAAAATCCTTCCTCAAGAGACAGTTACACTACACCCTGAGGAAAAAGGTTTTGCGATCCCTTCTCTCCTTTTCTCCATTGGGAAGAATCGCTAAGAAGTAAAGAGAAAGAACACTGATTTTAAGATTGGCAGGGAAAATACCCAGCTAAAATAACTTGGAAATGTGTTGGAAATTTCTTTCAGGAGCATGATGTATGGAGAAGATAATTAAAACAAGAATCATTGGGGCCTTCAGTAAGCAGCAAAGCAGCAAACTCTAAGGCATCTGGTTAGACTTTCTCTTTGATGACTGTAGATGACTACTGGCTCTTCCACTTCTGAGAATAAGTATTGCCCGTGTTAAACAGAAAGAGAACAGCAAACAAATCACCTCCAGATTACTCTAAGGGTAGCAGTGTTGAAGCATCAGCTCTCTTGGATTAACTCTTGTCAGAGCCACACTCTAGGACAGTGACCAGCTAGCTAAGCATAGATTCCTAAAGAATGATATCAATCACCGTGTCTTAAACTTTAGGGTTAGAAGATGGCAGAGATATCTCACAGGTTTTAGACAGGCTGTTGAGTCTATTCAATATGCCACCCCTGTCAGTGAAGAACAGAATGTGGTCTCAATCTTTCACTATTAGTTGGGAACCTGGCAGAGTGGGGAGGTCAAGCCCACTGTGCAATAATCAGAGTGCCAGTGTTAACACAGGTCACATGTGGCAATATGGTTTGTCAGTAGGAGCCCTGGTTTCACACAGAAGATCTGAGTTTGGCTCGTTAATATCTTTCTTAATCTAGGGTAACAAGTGATTTTGTAGTAGTCAATCACCATGCTTGGTGCCATGGGAGAGACAAACATTCCCTGATCTATCCCTACAAAGGCAAAGATTAATCTGGGTGCTCTTAAAGAATGTATTGGATCAATTATGATCCATGAGGCAGACAGATGGTGTATTAAAAAGAGTTTAAGCAAAGAGAGTTTGAGGGAGAAACGGGGTTAAGGGAGCCATTAAGAGATGTTGAAGTGCTATGGGATGAGCAACAGCAAAAACCTGTCACCACCCCTGAGCCTGAAAGGACACAGGGAGAGAGTGGCATTCCCAGAGCCTGGAGCGTTAGAGCCATGGAAGAAGGCATAGTCCTTTTGCCATAGACAACTGAGCCACTGCCAGAACTGCGGTGAGAAAGGAAGGGAAGAGGGGAATGAACATGTGACTCCTTTCTCTTCCTAACATACAGTCTTCTGGAGATGCCATTCCTTAGCCCAAACTCATGGGAAGACCTGGGCCAAGGTGCCTGGTGATGCCATCTGTAGAAGGAATCCTCCTTAGGTGCTGAGCAAGACAGAGGAGAGTGGAGAATAGATTTGGGGGTGCAGGGGAGAAAACAGAAGGTAATTTTTGGTGTAGGCACCTAAAAATGAAATAAGCCTTTCCTTTGTATAAGGTTGTCACCATAGTTTACCTCTGGATGAATCAGTTTTGCTCTGCGTAGGGTCATTTCTGTGATTCACCATGCCTCCCCCAACACATATGCCTGTGCTATTAGCTATGTAAATATAGGGTAAATAGGTATTCCTTCTGAGGAGAGGGGAGAATAATAAGGACTTTTACTGTTGTCAGAAATATATAGGACTTAAATAAACCTTGGTATGGAAATGTGGTTTCTGGGGGGAGGAAATGGACTAATTTATAAAAAGGACCAAATGCCTCCCACAGGGGAGCTATCCAAGAAGACAGATGGTACCTGGGTTGATGGCAAAGGCTGAAAACGGCTCCTGGAGGTTCCTATAGGAGAGCTGATCCCTGCACCATGAATGGCTAATGCAGAAGGAGACTCTCCAGACCTAGCCATTCCGAGCCTGCAATATTCTTGAGAAGCAACAGCTGGGTGTGGGAATGTAGATCAAAAAGAGCTGTGATGTTGGCACCTAACACAAGTCACTGCTGGGACATAGACCAGCAAGGGTGCTCCAGAAGTAGTGGACAAATACTCACCAAGCTGGCATAACCTGTCTTCAACAGCAAGTGCAAGTGGTAGTCATAATATCAGCAATTGTGAGCGGATCAGAACCTGGTTCTTTCTTCCCTACAAGTGTATCACAGGCTGGGGAGGAGGCTTATTGTCTTAGCTTTAAGAAGTCTACTACTCAGCTAGGAAAATAAGACTTAAACAGAGAAGAACACAAGAAAATGGACAAAATTGATATTACATGCCAGCGGAAATCAGGGCCAGAAAGATGGCTGTGGATGGTCACAGAAGACTCATGGAGGCTGGGGCTGGACCTGAGCCCAACAGGATGGAGACTATGTAGGGAGGCAGAGAAATACTTTAGGAGAAAGCCACATTCCAAGTGAAGTTTCCCTAGATGGAAATGCATAAGACATGCTGGGAAGATGGTGAGTAACTCATCTGTCTGGAGAAGAGTGCGCTGAACACGTTTGAGCTGGGAGAGGTGATGAAAGCAGTGTTTAAAGAAAATCATTCTGGCCATGGGGTGCCAGATGAATTGCACTGGGGAGTAACTGGAGCTAGAGAGACACGTTAGGAAACTATTCTAGCTAGGAAATACTTCAGGCATGAAGTGATAAGGGCTCGGATGAGAGTTAAAACAGTGGGAATGAAAGGCCAGAGCAGACTCAAGAGACATCAGTGAGGAATGATTAATAGGAGGCCTTGATGACTAATTCAAAGTGGAAGGAGGACCAAGGAGAGGAGGAACCAATAATGAACATAAGGTTTGCAGCCGTTGTGACTCAGAAAATGGTGGTGTTATAAAGAGATGTGGCAAATTAATTGGGGGAGGGGGAGGAGGCTAATTATTTAGTGAAATGATTATGATAGATATATGGTTTTAGCACATTGTTTGGAATGATATTCATTGGTGATATCTTCTGCAAACAAATATTTTTCCTAGGTTGAAGAGCTCATTAAAGACACTACTCCCTACCATTTTCCCAAACCTAAATCCCAAAAATCATCCTCATCCATTCGTTCTCCAGTACTTGCAAAATTAAGTAGTCTCCAAATTCTATTAAATGTACTTTCATTATCTTTCAAATCCTCACACTTTTTCCAACCCCATACTCTTTACTTTAGTTTAGACCACAGTCATCTTTCACCTAGAATTCAGCAATTATTTCTCAAATGGTTTCCTTCCCCACCTTCAATCGCTCTTTACAAAGAAGCCTGAATGTTCTTTCTAAACAAAAATTTTGATCCTGCTATCTGCTGATTATATACCTGTGGTGGCTTCCTTGGCCTGAAGCCTTAACAGAACACATTAAACGTCTCACACTTGGCACCTATTTCATTCTCCACCCCCATCCCTCATCATTCCACATCTCACGTTCTATGCCCCAACCATATCAAGCTACTTACATTTTCTTGAATGTGTCACGCCCCCTCTCATTTTCAACCTTGCAAATGACTGCATCTCTGTCTGAAATACCTTATTTCTTTCAC